GCTCTGCTTATTTTTTCTTCTTTCTTTCCAATTTCTTTTCAATACAATAAGTGTTATTTAGAAAAAACCAAAAGATAATGGAAATCTGCAGACAATTTTTTAAAATATCAGTGTCTCTTTTCAGTCAATATTTGCAACTCCTACCTCATCAAATATTCTCTCACAGCAGAATAAGGTGGCAAAGAAACAAAGTGCAAATTAGCCTAGGGTAGTGGGTCCTCCTCCTTGTTTCATCACTAATTAGCTCTACAGACCCCAGCAAACACTTGACCTTTCTGACCCACACTTGTCTGAACAGCACAAAGAAGATCACTGAGGCTCCCTATCATTATGTAAATGGAAGGCCTTGTCTACAAATAATCTCTTCAGGCAAATTGCGTAATTTGACATTGAAATTATGCATCTCTTTACTGCTCTCCCCCATCTTTGGCTCCAGGTTTTAAAGACTGCTATTAAAAGACAAATATGTTAGCATATTAACATATTATCATCTAGCAATAACTTTTTAAAAGTTAACTAATCAAATTAGTCATAGCAGACAGCAGAACCACAATGCTTTGGGCACAGGGAGGTTGGGATTTGGATGGGATGGGAATGGAATCCAGAATACTCTGGCTCTCAGCTCTAGATGCTCTCAAAGAAAACTCCTGAACAGAAAGTGGGGGAAGAAGGAGCCTCCAGACAAATCGCGACCCTTTGCAATTTTGCTTCAGGCTTGTAATTCACTTTTCCTGAGAATGGCATGGAAATTGTGGATAAGCAGGTGAAAAACCATTCGTATCAAGTGTGGAGGGAAAAGAAAAGGTTTTGTTTCTTGTTTTGAAACAGAGTCTTGCTCTGTCACCCAGGTCGTGCAAACATGGCTCACTACAGCCTCAGTTTCCTGGGCTCAGGTGATTCTCACCTCAGCCTCTCAGAGTACCTGGGACCCCAGGTGCATGCTACGACACCCAGCTAATTTTTTACTTTTGTAGAGGTGGGGTCTTGATATATTGCCCAGGACAGTCTCAAACTCCTGAGCTCAAACAACCTGCCTGCCTAGGCCTTCCAAAGTATTGGGATTATAGGTATGAGCCACTGAAGAAAGATACATTTTTTATCTGAGAAATACGAACTCCTTTACATTATCAGGCCCAGAGAGGCACTGGGATGTAAAGGCAGTCACGTCTCACTCCTTCTCGAGCTAAATAATGATCTCTTGAAGTCTCCTGCTATGCAGGCTGTAGATTAATGCCAATTAGCCAAAAAAATGCCATACACCTTATATTTCAACAAAGTCTAGCCAATTACTAACCAATGTTATTTCTGTAAACCAATGAGAATTCCTGATGAACAACTTTTGTAATTGCTCCCCTCCTGATTCATCTTTCATTCTTTAAAAACCTGAGCCTCTCTTTTCGTTCTTGGGAACACTCCCCAAAGCAACTTGAAAGGGTGTCCCAGGCTGCAGATCTCAACCTTGACCCCAATAAACTCTCTACATTATTTTTGCCTCAGCTTCTTCCTTTTAGGTGGACACAAGTGTTAATTGGCAAGCAAAAAAAAAAAAAAAAGAAAGAAAAGAAAAAGGAAATAAACTCTTTTAGAAGTTAGGCTGGGCACGGTGGCTCACACCTGTAATCCCAGCACTTTGGGACGCGAGGCAGGTGGATAACCTGAGGTCAGGAGCTCGAGACCAGCCTGGCCAACATGGTGAAACCCCAACTCTACTAAAAATTCAAAATATTTGCTGGGTATTGTGGCACACCCCTGTAATCCCAGCTACTCGGGAGGCCTAAGGAAAGAGAATTGCTTGAACCCAGCAGGTGGAGGTTGCAGTGAGCTGAGATCATGCCATTGCACTCCAGCCTGGGCCACAAGAGTGAAACTCAAAAAAAAAAAAAAAAAAAAAAGCTCATCTGGCCTAAATGTCTTGGCTGAAGTCTCCTGCAGGAAAGACCCACTGTGACTAATGGAGCCCCGCAGTGGGGATCGAAGATCATGGTTGAGCATTCTAAGCTGCTGTGAAGATGCCAGGCCCAGCTGGAGATCAAATTAAGGAGAGGGTGGCACAAATAGAACCAGGAGGGAAGTCATAAAACAACGGACAGGGAGGGGACCTGAAATAAAAGTTAAGCCTGGTGATGCCTGAGGCTCGGGCCCCACCCTGGATGAAGGCTGACTCCAGCCTGTGTTGCAATTCTTGAGCTGCACAGAAGGGAGCACCATTCCTGTATTATTTCTCCCGTCCTAACCCCGGTAATGCCACTCCTAGTTGTAGGACGTATCTTATATTTGTTTTACAGTGTGCGTTTGTTCATTATTGAGACAGAGTCTCTCTGTAACCCAGGCTGGAGTGCAGCGGCACGATCTCGGTTCACTGCTAAATTGCTGGGATTATAGGTGCAGGCCACCACACCTGGCTAATTTTTGTGTTTTAGTGTGGACAGGGTTTCACCATGTTGTCCAGGCTGGTCTCAAACTCCTGACCTCACGCAGTCCACTCGCCTCTGCCACCCAAAGTGTTGAGATTACAGGCGTGAGCCATTGCGCCCAACACATTTTATAGTTTGGAGAGCACTGCCTCATTTCATCCTTAGACCAACCAAATAATGATTAGGGGCAAGCCCTATTATCCCTGTTCTACAGATAGAAAACTGAGAGACAGCCAGTTTAAGCAACAGTGCCAGACAATTTGGTTACTTTGTTTGATTCCTTACCCAGTGCTTTTCCCACTCTGCTGTCCAGAATAAAACAGGATTGTTAAGGACCACTGGGCAACAAACACAGACCCCAGAACTCCAAAGGGAAAGAAGACACACTCCCCTATCCACGCCACACGATAGATAGCCTTGGGTATGCTGCTGCTGCTCTCAGGAGGTTTGGAGATCAAATTGAGCCTGCTCCTCAGCTTCAAACGCAATTAAATTTAGCTTTGTTGGGTCATTCTGTGGTCAGGCTGTGAGTTCAGCTTGGTCAAGAGGAAGGAAGGGAATAAGCAGAAGCTGTTGGTTGGGCACCTGTCCTTTTGTCTCCTCGGTGCCTCTCTTCTCGTGGACATAAAGACACCCACGTAACCCCTCATGGCTACAAGCTGGGAAAGCTCTAAAATGATGACTCTTTTAAATTTTTTAAATTGACAAATAAAAATTGTATATATTTATGGTGTCCCACATGATATTTGATATACATCCACATTGTGGAATGGCTAAATCAATCCAATTAACATGTACATTATCTCACATTTCTTTTTTTGTGTGGTGAGAACACTTAAAATCTACTCTCCGGGCCGGGCGCGGTGGCTCAAGCCTGTAATCCCAGCACTTTGGGAGGCCGAGGCTGGTGGATCACGAGGTCAAGAGATCGAGACCATCCTGGTCAACATGGTGAAACCCCGTCTCTACTAAAAATACAAAAAATTAGCTGGGCATGGTGGTGTGTGCCTGTAATCCCAGCTACTCAGGAGGCTGAGGCAGGAGAATTGCCTGAACTCAGGAGGCGGAGGTTGCGGTAAGCCAAGATGGCGCCATTGCACTCCAGCCTGGGTAACATGAGTGAAACTCCGTCTCAAAAAAAAAAAAAAAAAAAATCTACTCTCCAAGCAATTTTCTAGTATACAATACATTGTTGCTAACTACAGTCTCCATGGATCTCTTGAAATTTGCCTGTGGCACGAGCCACCATACCAGCCTCCTCTTTCCCTTTTGTGTCTCTTTCTTGTTTTTACTTCTTTTGAGACAGAGTCTCACTCTGTCGCCCAGGCTTGGAGTGCAGTGGCGCGATCTCTGCTTACTGAAACCTCTGTCTTCTGGGTTCGTGATTCTCCTGCCTCAGCCTCCTGAGTAGCAGGGATTACGGGTGAGCCACCACGCCTGGCCTCCCTTTTGTGTTTCTTTTACTCTTCCTTGACCTCCTGCCCCCAATCCTGTCCCTCCGTGTGTTCTTAGAAAATGACATCTGATCACCCAAGCCGCAAGTCCTGCACGCTCAGCATTGCTGCCAAGCGGGGTGTTCCTAAAATGCAGATCTGCTCAAGTCATTCTCCTGCTTAAAAGTTTCTGCATTCCCTGGCTCTTTGGGGAGAAAGATAGCTTGGTATTCCAGGGGCTTCATTTTTTTTTTTTTTTTTTTTTTTTTTTTTTTTTAATACAGAGTCTTGCTCTGTCTCCCAGGCTGGAGTGTAGTGGCACAATATCAGCTCACTGCAACCTCTGCCTCCTGAGTTCAAGTGATTCTCCTGCCTCAGCCTCCCAAGCAGCTGGGATTACAGGCGCCCACCACCACGCTTGGATAATTTTTGTATTTTTAATAGAGACGGGGTTTTGCCATGTTAGCCAGGCTGGCCTCGAAACTCCTGATCTCAAGGTAATCCGCCTGCCTTGACCTCCCAAAGTGCCTGGCCCCAAGCCCTTCATTTTCTGACAGTCTGCCACATTCTCCTTCCTTCCAGCCTCCCACACTGCTGACAGGGCAGCAGTGCTCCCCTGCTCCCCTTCATCTCACCAACTTTTATTCATCAAGAGTCTGTTACCTTCTGGGAAGCCTTGTCTATTCTTTCCTTAGTCTGATTAGACATCCTTTCTCTGTGTCCCTAGCAGACTCTGTTCATACTTTGTGGCATTTGCTAGATTACATTGCAATAACAAATTCCAGTCTGCTTCTCCATCTTTAGTTTTTCTCAACATGTGATTTGTGGACTTCTTGTTTCAGAATCACTTGGAGAGTTTAAACACAAGCTCCTGGGACACACCCCAGACCCACCAACTCCGAATCTTTGCCGGGCAGAGCCTAGGAGTCTGCATTTTAAAAATTTCTCAGCCGGGGTGATGGCTCATACCTGCAATTCCAGCACTTTGAGAGGCCAATGCAGGCAGATTGCTTGAGCCCAGGGGTTCAATACCAGCATGGGCAACATGATGAAACCCTGTCTCCACAAAACAACGACAACAAAAAACCAACATTAGCCAGGCATGGTGGCTCACGCCTGTGGTCCCAGCTACCCAGAAGGCTGAGGCAGGAGAATTACCTGAGCCCACGAGGTCGAGGCTTCAGTGAACCAAGATTGCACCACTGCACCCCAGCCTGGGTGACTGAGAGAGGTCAAGTTTAAGAGCCACTGCACTAGACATGAAGTAGTCATATTTTCTTAGATCTTCAGCATCTACCATAAGTACACAGAGAATGGATTCTGAATGAAAGAGTCTAGAGCTTGAAAGAGAACTGAAATTTAAAAATAAAAATTAAAACCTATGAAATGAGCAGCATAACTTGGACTAGAAGGCGAGTATTTCCTGTTGAGATCCCAGTTGCCAGCAGGCGGCGCTGTGTCAATACAAATGCTTTCACCTGAAGGGAGAAGACAAGAAGTTTGGTTGATTTACTGGAATTCAAGCCTCAAATACTGCGTAATTGAATTTATGTTTTCTTACTCAGTTTGTCTGCATTGTTCTACTTGTATGAATACATTGATTTTTTTTTTTTTCCATCTAGCCCAGGACAAAGCGGAGGAAATTGATTTCTGAAGGCATGAAGTCTTAGACAAGAAAAGCCGTCAAAGGAGGCTGGTGGCAGCGGGTTGCTGGGCAGGTAATGAAGGAGAGGGGAAGGAAATTAGCAATTACCCTTATTTCCATCCTCATGAGGGAAAGCTGCTCCCTGCCAGCACCGCCTGTTGTGAATTACCCAAGCATTCAAATCAATGTGTCATTTCAGCGAGAGGGTGGAGCCATCCTGTAATTTCTGTTAGTCATCCAGTTTCCTTTACGTGTTGTCAGATGCCTACGTGAGTATCCTTTGAATGCCGTTTCTCTCCCGAACCAAAGTCTGAAAGCCCGAATCTTTCTTCTGGGCTGAGTACTTTATTCTCCTGAGATGTGGGAAGTAGGCCCAGCAAAAGCCTGGGGCCCCACCGACAGCTCCTCCCCCACCTGCCTCCCGCTCTGCGCGAGGGCTTCCCTGTGCACAGAACTGATAGAGCTGGCCTGGCCTCTGGGCAGACAATCAGGCCAGGCCAGAGCTGGAGGCTTAGCGGGTTTCCTCCCGACAGACGAGAGCTTTCAGCCAGAGACCTTCGAGGAGGGAGGCAGGGGGAGGGTTTGCAGCTTTCCCAGCTCTGGGCAAACAGAGCAGTGTGGTGGAGAGGAAGAAGGGGGAGGAGACCTGACCGCTACTCTCCGCCTAGACCCAGTGTCACTGAAGAGGCGCTCTTTAAAGGCGTCACACAATTTAAGAACAGTGCATGGAGGAAATAACTATTAAGTTCTGAATGTCCAAGCATAAATGAAATGGAAGTGCTTAAAACTAATAAGAAAGAAGCTACAGTTCCTCTTTTCCTTTCTTGAAAAATCAAATGCAAAAATCATCAGGTGCGGGGTCAAGCAAGGCAGGCAGCTATAAGTGGGGTGGAGGTGAGCTGTGGTGGTCAGAACCTGACCACGATCACATTCAGGGGTAGGCCAGGCTGTCAGAGCTCAAGTTACGGTAAGGGGTGGCCTGGCAGAGGCAATCTGCCACGGGATGTTGGAGTCCCAGTGGGGAGAGAAAGGTATTGCCAAGGCCGTGTATGTAAATGCATAATATTAAGGATAATGAAAGCACAGCTTCTAGCTGTTAGAGAAGACAGTTTACAAATCATGCCTGTAATCCCACTACTTTAAGAGACTGAGGTGGAAGGATTGCTTGAGGCCAGGAGTTTGACACCAGCCTGGGCAACATAGGGAGATCCCGTCTCTACAGAAATTGAAAAACACAGGATTAGCTGGACGTGATGGCATGCACCTGTATGCCAGCTCAAGAAAGGAGGCTGAAGTGTGAGGATCACTTGAGCCCAGATTGAGGCCATACTACAGCCTGGGTAACTGAGCAAGACCCCATCTCAAAAAAATAAATTATGGACAGACAGAAAACTAGAATGAAACCTGTGTTGGGTTGGAATGAAGTATTGGTATGAAGTCATGGTTTTCAATAAACAAATACGATCCATATTTTATTACATATGTGGAGAAACATAAGTGTACATATGTATGATTGTGTGTATGTGTGTACATACTTCCTGATAGTGTCCCAAGAGGGCCTGAGATTGATGATGACCAATACTGGTTTCTATTTATTTTTTAAAAATAGAGGTGGGGTCTTGCTATGTTGGCCAAGGTGGTCTTGAACTCGTGGCCTCAAGCAATCCTCCCACCTCAGCCTCCCAAAGTGCTGGGATTATAGGCATAAGCCACTGTGCTTGGTCTCAATCCTGGTTTCTGTTTTTGTGGGTTTTTTGTGTGGGTTTTTCTTTTTCTTTTTCTTTTTTCTTTTTCTTGAGATGGAGTCTCACTCTATCACCCAGGCTGGAGTGCAATGGCATGATGTTGGCTCACTGCAACCTCCACCTCCCTGGTTCAAGCAATTCTCCTGCCTCAGCCTCCCAAGTAGCTGGGATTACAAGCACCTGCCACCATGTCTGGCTAAGTTTTGTATTTTTAGTAGAGATGGGGTTTTGCCATGTTAGCCAGGCTGGTCTCGAACTCCTGACTTTAGGCATTCCACCTGTCTTGGCCTCTCAAAATGCTGCGATGTCAGGTGTGAGCCACCGTGCCTGGTTTCAATCCCGGTTTCTAAATATCATTCTTCACTTACAGGAACCAAGATCCCTTAAGAGAAATGGTTGATTCTAGGGGTTAATAAAGGAAAAGGAAAAGATGGGTCTGGGATAGCTTCTGGTGCCAGAAAGTAAGAAAGTACCCAAAGAAGGACACTGTAACCAGCCTGAAATGTCCTGCTGGCCAAATCTGAGACAATCTGAGCATCAAACTTAATAATGATGGTAATATAACCCATTGATACTAATATACCCATTAAATACTTTGTAATTCATAGTCCCTATTGATGTAAAGTGATAAAAAGATTAATTTTAAAGAGGAATGGAAATTTACACATTTTAAGTTCTTCCCTAGAAAACATTTATTTGTTACAATAGGAAAAAGAATAACTTCACAGCCAGGAAGCACAGTAGATGTGACCTTAATGAAATGATCAAAGTTAACATCATTAGTAATAGGACATATTGAAGTGTGGATCCAATGAGAAGAACACATGACTTCTTTTGTATTTCTGTCAAAGATACATAACCTGAATATAATCATTAGAAAACATGGACAGACCCAAGTTGAGAGACATTTTGTAAAACAATTAGTCTGTAACTGCAAAAGAGTCAAAAAAGTCACAAGAGTCACGAAAAAAACAGGAACTTTTCTCAGTTGAAGGAGACTAAAAGAGCTGTGACAAATAAATGCAACACATGATTCTGAACTGCACTCAGTTGCTATAAAGACACTTCTGGGACAGTTGGTGAAACTTGAATGCGTGTCAGAATTATACGGTAACAATGCATCAGTGCTACTTTCCTGATTTTGGTAGGAAGAGTGTCCTTGTTTATTAGAAAATGCTGAAGTATTTGGGGGCCATGGACACCATGTTGGCAACTTAATCTCAGAGATGAGGAGAAAACAGTTTTTTGTTCTATGGTTTCAAATTTTCTATAAATCAGATGTTGTTTGGAATAAAAATATACTGTTAAAAAAATAGAGAGAAGAGTAGGCCATTGGTGGGATGGGCATCAAAGTAGCATGGAGAGGTGAGATTTGAGTTTGCCAGAAAGGAGCAGAAGCATTTCTGGTGTGGGAGGAGCACCCTGGGCAGAGCAGAAGCATTTCCGGTATGGGGGGAGCACCCTGGGCAGAAGCCCCAAGATTGGAAGAAAAATGGCAGGAATTGGGAGGAAAGTTACCCCTGCTCACCTGGCACAAAAGGTTTGTGTTAGAAAGAGGGTAGCCATGTAATTTATCATGCAAATGCATGTACTTTTGAGAATGAAAGAGAGCACTGTTAATAATTACATTTGGTCTGCAGTGTGACCTCTTAAGGAAAAACAAAAAGTATGTAAAGAGAAAAAAAAAAAAACTGCATTTAAAAATTATATTTTGACATGAGCACAACATGACTATTTGGAAAACTGCCCTCAGCAAACTGGGATGTGTGACCCCAGCTAGAATTCAACAAGAGATCAGGAAATTTAGGGGAAATGGAACCAAATTGTAGAGGTTTGAAATGAAAATGGTCTTGCTTTCTGATCAGTAGTAAATAAATAAAATAAAATAAAAATGGTCAAATCTCGTGAGCTTTTCTATGTCCTCCTCTTTACTCGGCCTCACGGTGGCATTTGGTACAATCATTTTCTGCGTACTCTCTTCCTGTCTTTGGTGACCCCATATTCTCCTGGTTTTCCTCCCTTTACTCCGGCACTGTTCAGTTTTCTTCACCTGTCTATATCCATCTTCTCCTATTCAATCTCAGATGGTTTAGTTCTTCAGGGATCCATTCTGGACCCTCTTCTCTTTTGTCTCTATAATCTTTACCTGTTGGTTTTAAAAAATTATTTTTATCTTTTTATATTACATTTACTGGTTTGATTTTTTTTTTTTTAATCAAGAGAACTGGCTCTGGTCATTTGTTTAATTAATTAACTGATTAATTTATAGAGACCGGGTTTCCCCATCTTGCTCAGGTTGGTCTTGAACTCCTGGGCTCAAGCAGTCCTCCGGTCTTGGCCTCCCAAAGTACTAGGATTACAGGTGCGAGTCACCATACCTGGCCCTACTACCCTTTGGTTTAATGTTCTGTACTGATTCCCAAATATGTGTCCCCAAACTTTCTCTTTCCTAGCTCCAACATTTTACTGCCTACTTAACAGTGACATTTGGAGGACTCATAGTTTTCTCAAGTTAACATATCAAAACTAGAGAGAGTGAGTTATTGGAGTGGTTGGCGTAGGGCATTGCCCACTATCTAATCCCTCTGCGGTTCTGCGGTGGGCCTAATACTCTTCCCTCTTGGGCCTTAATATACTCGCATCTCAGTTAGAGGGTGTTGAGGTAGTTTGTCTGCCTCCTCAGGTATGATGGTTAATTTTATGTGTCACCTTGACTGGGCCATGGGATGCCCAGATATTTGGACAAATATTATCCTGAATGTTTTGGAGAGGGTGTTTTTGTATTAGATTAACATTTACATTGCTAGACTGAATAAAATAGATTGCTCATTCTAACATGGGTGGATCTCATCCAATCAGTTGAAGGCATGAATAGAACCAAAGGCTGACCTTCTTCCAAGTGAGGGGATTCCTTTTTCTGTGTGCCTTCAAACTAGAACATTAGCTTTTTCCTGCCTTTGACTCAAACTGAAGCATTTGTTCTTCCTGGTAAGTGAGCCTGCCAGCCTTCGATCAGGCACCACACACATCAGCTCTCCTGGTTGTCAGGCCTTAGGACTCAGATTAGAATTAAACCATTTGCTCTTCTGGATCTCCAGCTTGCTAACTCAGCCTCCAGATATTGAGACTTGCCAGCCTCCATAATTGCATGAGCCAATTTCTTATGATACATCATATATATTATATACATAATTACTATACAAATAATAAGAAACCTGTGTATTATAATCTCACACACACACCCTGTTGGCTCTTTTTCTGGAGGACCCTGACTGATATACTCAGGTTTCTGATCACAGCAGGGAGCACGATCTTGCCAGAGTCTTGTTAGGGACGCACAGGTCACTGATGAAGGCTGATTCTCCTTCTCAGTACAGCAGACCTGCTCTGGAAAGCGCTGGTCAAGCAGTGGTAGTCAAGTCCCAGATCATCTCAGGAACCATTTTACACTTGGCAATAACTCTTTGATATTCACAGAATTGGCCTGTGAGGAGGGGGTGACTCAGAGGAGGTCAAGAAGCAAGCTGTCCCAGTGATGACTGAGGTAAGGAGTCCAAAGACCTAAGGGTTCATCTTGGGTGGAGTTGAAAGTGTGGTTGCAACAAGAGTGGTGTTGGGGTTTGGTGGCCTGGTCCCGGTCACAGTAGCAGTCAAGAGAATTCTCCCAGGTACCTCCTATAAGCAGTTTGGTTGTATTCCTGATGAAGTTTCCGCCCACAGCTACCTCTGAATGGTGTCAGTGGCTAGGGTGGAAAGTACAAAGTCGGAGTGCCTCAGGTGGTAGATGTTCCTGTCTTTGTCCAATGTCCCCTGTCCCAACCCAAGAGAAAGGGCTGCTCTCGCCTCTCTAAGGCAGCTGTCTCTGTAAGCAGCGGAGCTGAGCTGTCTCTCCTAGCTGCAGACAGCTCTGATATTCTCTGGCTGGACTGAGCCCTTGGCCTCAAAGAATGAATTTTGCATGATCTGGGCAGCCTGAGTGATAATGGCAGCAGGACAGAGAGTAATCTCTCTGTCTAGGAAGTTGAGAGCCTCACCATGGTGGCTGAGGTGAGAATGGCCAGCCTGGGACAGGTTCTAGGGGCCACAAAACACATCACAGTCAGGGAGGCAGATCTGCTTCAGCTTGTCCAGTGAGGGCCACCTGGCGAGGTGGAAGGGAAGCCATCTAGCCAGAGGCCCTATTCCCATTGGCAGGCCCTGACCAACAACACTAGATGGGACAGTGTGCCAGGACTCAGCCTCAAGGTGGCTGTGGACAAGGGAGGGGCTAACTTTGCCTCTCTGCTCCCAGCAGAAAGAGCGACTCCTCCAGATCTGAGGCAGACCCACCTCTTCCTGTTCAACAGAGCATTGGGTGGAGATGGGTATGGCAATGATTCCTTTTGGATGAAATTGCTTCCAAGGGACTTCTTAGAAGGAATCCCACCCTTAGAACCATGGGAGATGGGGGCTCCCCTCTTTCTCTTCCACAGGGAGTCACTAGAGGGGGTGGCCCTGATAAGCCAGGGGGTCTTCAGGAGAAACTCCCTTCTCTCTGTCCCTCCTGCTCAATCATCTTGGGAGGTATTTTGGTCATACCTTTTTCTGCTCTGGAGGGTTGGAACCTCCTGTAAGGTGGCAGAAGACAAATTAAATAGGCCCAGGTCAAAGTTGCTATAAATGGGGTCCCCAGCTGGGATGGGGATCAACCACTGGCTGCTCAGAGGGTTGGGTTCTTTCTGGAAGAGCTGGGCTCAAAGGGAGGGACCACATGGAGCATGCTTCTAGTGGCTGCTGCTATTGCTGTGATGCCAGGGCTGGTTCTGTTCCTTATATGCTTGGTTATATCCAAAAATGGAGCCCTTGATTTGATTTTTTTAATTTTTTGAGATGGAGTCTCACTCTGTTGCTCAGGCTAGAGTGCAGTGGTACAATCTTGGCTCACTGCAACCTCCGCCTCCAATCTCTGCCTCTTGCTGAGGCAGGAGAATCACTGAGGTCCGGATTTAAGCGATTCTCCTGCCTCAGCCTTCCAAGTTGCTGGATCTACATGTGTGCACCACCACACCTGGCTAATTTTTGTATTTTTAGTAGAGATGTGGTTTTACAGTGTTTGCCAGGCTGATCTCGAACTCCTGACCTCAGGTGATCTGCCCACCTCAGCCTCCCAAAGTGTTGGGATTATAGGCGTGAGACACTGTGCCCTGCACAGCCCTTGATTGTAATTGCCAAATCCTCTCTTCTATTGTATTTCTCATCTCAGTAATTAGTACCGCCATCTATCCAATTGTTCAAACCAGAAAGCTGGACATGGTCTTCGATTCAGCTCTTTCCCTTACCACCCTCTTGTTTCAGACCCATGAGCTAGTCCTATCATCTCTACTTCTTAACTACATCTAACATGACCATGTCCCTTCCCCATTGCCATCACCATGGTCCAGGCCACTGTCATCTGCTGCTCAGACACAGACAATGGTAGCGCTCTGTTTATTGTTCTCCCCACATCCTCTTTCAACCCTCTCCAATCTGCACCTCATGCAGCAGCCAGAGAAGATAGACTGTCTCTGTGATTCTTGGGCACAGCGCTCTGTTGATGTCCTTCAGAGCACTTGCCACAAGTTAAACATTTATTTTGTTGTTCTTGTTGTTGCTCATTTTTTTTTGTCTGTCTCCCCCACTAGATGTATAGCACCATGAGGTGGAGAATCTTGCCTGTCAAGGTCACCCTTGTATCCTTCCTGCCCAGCACAGTGCCTGGCACAGAGTAGTTAAATCAGTGGGTTTTGGGTGAATGGCATTAGGCCAAAGAGTTTTGATTTGAGTCAGAAAGCAGTTTGGCGCTAACACATATTGTAAAGAACAAAAGGATTGAAAATATACGCATGCTTTTGGAAGAATAATGAAGGCAGCTGGATGGAGATTAATTCTTGTTCTACTTTATGAATAGCTTCCCAGTTGATAAGGCCTAAGGCTGTGGCATGAAATTTCAAAGGGAGGGCTCAAATCCTATAGAAAGTTTAAAGAAAGAATCAACAGAATTGCTATCTTCTTTGGCTTGGTGGGGTGGCTCACGCCTGTAATCCTAGCACTTTGGGAGGCTGAGGCAGGTAGATCACTTGAGGTCAGGAGTTTGAGATCAGCCTGGCCAACATGGTGAAACCCCATCTCCACTAAAAATACAAAAATTAGTCAGGCATGGTGGCACATACCTGTAGCCCCAACTACTCAGGAGGCTGAAGCAAGAGAATAACTTGAACCTGGGAGACAGAAGTTGCAGTGAGATCACACCATTACACTCCAGCCTGTAAGTGTAGTCTCCAGTGAGACTCTGTCACCACCTGCCCAAAAAGAATTGCTATCTTCTTTAATATGACTTATTTGTTTATCTATTTATTTATTTAGAGACAAGGTCTTGTTCTGTCACCCAGGCTGGAGTACAATGGCACGATCATAGCTTACCAGTACCTCCAACTCCTGAGCTCAAGTTATCCTTCTGCCTGAGTCTCTCAAGTTGCTGGGACTACAGGTGCACACCATCATTTCCTGCTAATTTTTAATTTTTTGTAGAGATGGGATCTTGCTATGTTGCCCGGGCTGGTCTCCAACTCCTGGCTTCAAGCGATCCTCCTGCCTTGGCTTCCCAAAGTGCTGGTATTACAGGTATAAGCCTCTACACCAGGCCCTTGAATATGTTGATAAGAAGAGAGACGGGGCATTGATGTTGTAAGTCTGGTGGGCCAGAAAAATAGGATTACCTGTCTTTTCCAAAAAGAATGGCATGACTGGGAACAACCTCAAATTTATTGGAAGAAAAACTCAGTTTTTAAACATGTTGAGTTTGAAATGACTGTAAATATTTTCTATGGGCCACTGAAAAAAGCCTAGCTAGAAATCCTTTTTGACATTTTGATCAGC